AGCAGGAACGGCAGAGCGATCGGTGACCAACAGCAGCAGCAGCAGCAGCAGCAGCAGCAGCAGCAGCAGCAGCAGGAGGGTGTGGGGTGTGCTGCGCGCAGGCACCAGTGGCAGTGGGTGGTGCTGCTGCCGTTCATAGACAAGAAGCGGCTGCTGGCAGCAGCGCAGCAGCTGGAAGGCAATTTGCTGCCGGAGGAGCAGCAGCGGAACTCGCTGTCGGAAACTGAGGTGTACGTACACCGCACGCACCCCCTAGCAGCAGCAATTCAGCAGCTGCTGCCCGCCCACGGCCGCGGGCTGCTGCCGGGCGAAGAGCCCGACTGGGCAGCAGCAGCAGCAGCAAGAAGAGTTCCCCGCGGGGTGTGGGGCCCCGGTTTGCTGCTGCCAACCAGCTGCAGCAGCGGCCTCGCCGGCCGCCTCTTCTACTGCGAAGCAGCAGCAGCAGCAGCTCCCGGCAAGGTCCTCCACAGCCCAGTGGGTGCGCCGCTGCAGCTGCAGCAGCAGCAGCAGCAGCAGCAGCTGCTGCTGCTGCTGCTGCTGCTGCTGGGGGGCTGAGGGGCTGTGTGGCTCGTGTTGCTGCTGCGCTGCTGCTGCGCCGCGTGCTTCTCCCGCAGCTGCTGCTGCTGCTGCTGCTGCCGGCCCGCCGGCGCGCCCCCTCGAGCTTGAAACTCCGCTGCTGCTGCTGCTGCTGCTGCTGCTGCTGCTGCTGCTGCTGCTGCTGCAGAGGGCCTGAGCCCCGTGTGCTCCGCCTCCGTTTGCTGCTACTTTTCTCCTCCGGATCTTTCCTCCATTCCTGCTGTTACTTCTCTTCTTCCTGGAGTCATCAGTTCGGGGCCTTACTTGGACAAATATGACTTAGATGTAAACCCTAAACCCTAAACCCTAAACCCTAAACCCTCGGCGCAGGCTTCTGCACGGCCGCAAACCGCCTCCGCTGGCCTGAGGTGACGAGGCGCCTGGTGACGACTGCCTTAGCTCCTGCGGCTGCTCCTGCTGCTGCTCCTGCTGCTGCTGCTGCTGCTGCTGCTGCTGCTACTGACGCTGCTGCTGCTGACGCTGCTGTTGCTGCTGCTGCTGCTGCAGGATGAGTCGAGGAAGGAAAGGGCCTTCAACGGGGCAGCAGCGCGCCGCATGGTCATGTTTGCACTGGGATGCGGCCGCCAGCAGCAGCAGCAGCAGCAGCAGCAGCAGCAGCAGCAGCAGCAGCAGCAAGGATGGAATGGAGCAACTAACGGCAACCGCTACCAAGGCAGGGGCCCCCAGGGGCCCCACCAGTACGCCGAGCAGCAGTATGCGCAGCAGCAATACTCGCAGCAGCACTACTCGCAGCAGCAGCAGCAGCAGCAGCAGCAGCAGCAGCAGCAAAGGCTGGAGCAGCAGCAGTTCAGGGGGCCCCTCCCTCCCCAGCTGTGGAGGCCCCCCTACGGCGGGGCGCAGCACCCCGCGTCTGTACACCCTGCTGCTCTTGCTGCTGCTGCTGCTGCTGCACCACCCCACATAATCCCAGTGGCTATGCGGCTGCAGCAGCAGCTAAACCCTATGGCTTGCCAAGCTGGGGGCCCCCCTGGCAGCAGGTGGAATGGGGGGAGGCCCCCAGTGGGGCCCCCGCAGGACCCCTGGGCCTCTTCGAGTGCCTACGGGGGGCCCCCTGGGGGGCCCCCCTGGGGGCCCCCCGGGGGACGCCCAGGGGGCCCCCTGAACCCCCCGAGAGACCCGCGGGGCAGAAGGCAGCCTGAAAGGCCCCTCTCGGGGGCCCCTTGGCAGCAGCAGGGGCCCCCTGGGTATGGAGGGTACGGCGCGCAGCAGCAGCAGCAGCAGCAGCAGCAGCAGCAGCGGCCGCCGTGGGGCTGCCCGGCGAACTCCATGCAGCAGCAGCAGCAGCAGCGGCAGCAGCAGCAGCAGCAGCAGCGGGGAGACAACAACGGGTTTGTAAACATGACATTCAGAGGGAAGTACAGCTAAGGCTTTATATTTCATTTCCAGGGAATGCCCCTTGGGGCTCTTGTGCTGCCTGGGGCCCCCCACTTAGTTTAAGGGCCCCTGGGGGCCCCCCCGGGGCCCCTTGGGGCCCCCCGGGGCCCCCTGGGGCCCCCTGAGGTTCCCCGGGGCCCCCTGAGGCCCCCCGGGGCCCCCTGGGGCCCCCCGGGGCCCCCTGGGGCCCCCCGGGGCCCCCTGGGGCCCCTCGGGGCCCTGTGAGAGCCTTTAGGGGCCCCCCGGGAGGCCCTCAGGGGCCCCCCTGGGGGCCCCCTGGGACTTCTCAGGGGGCCCCTGAGGCTTCGCTGGGGGCCCCCTGAGGCTTCTCTGGGGGCCCTCTGGGGCCCCCTTGGGGGCCCTCTGGGGTGCCTTTGGGGGCCCTCTGGGGCCCCCGTGGGGCACATGGGGGCCCCCAAGGGGGCCCCCAAGGGGGCCCCCAGGGGCCCCCTGGGGGCCCCTGTGGGGTGCGCAAAGCAGCACTTGTGTTGCTTGTTTGGACTTGAGAGGGAAAGGACTTCAGAAAGAGCTGCAGCAGCTGTGTCTGCTGCTGCTCGGGGTGTACGTACACCTGAACTCTGCAGGGGCTGCGTGGCCCCTGCGTGGCGCTGCGGTGCAGCGCGGCAGCAGCAGAAAGGCAGCAGCAGCAGCAGCAGCTGCTGCTGCTGCTGCTGCTGCTGGTACTGCGGCGCGAAGAGGACGCACAGAGGCCCAGAGATAGCGGTAGCTGGCAGCAAGGGGCAGAATGCAGCGCAGCAGCCGCAGCAGCAGCAGCAGCAGCAGCAGCAGCAGCAGCAAAGGCCAGAGGCAGCTGATGAGCTGCAAAAGGAATTCAAGAAAGCGCAGCTGCAGCGCGGCTTCTTTATTTGTTAATCTTGTTTTTCTATTTTTGTAATTCTTTTTAGAGTTAATTAAAAGTGAAGCTTTTAAAGTGCTGGGGTTTTCGCCGGCAGCAGACAAACAGTTTTGAACAAGTCCGGCGCTGCTTCCGAGGGTTTAGGGTTTAGGGTTTAGGGTTTAGGGTTTGGAGTTCGAAGGACAAGGGCCCACAACCGCGGGGTGTATAGACACCTCAGCGCGTACAGACACAGCAAATTCAAAAAGAGATAAAAGAAATAAAGATAAGAGAAAAGCTGGCCCGCAGCAGCAGCGCAGCAGCAGCAGCGCAGCAGCAGCAGCGCAGCAGCAGCAGCGCAGCAGCAGCAGCGCAGCAGCAGCAGCGTGTATGTCTCTCTCCATTCTGCTTCCTGTCGTTTTTTTTCGCTGTTGCTTTTGTGGCTAGCTGCAGCTAGATGGGGCGGCTAGCTAGCTGCAGCTAGCTAGCTGCAGCTAGCTGGGGCAGCTAGCTAGCTGCAGCTAGCTGGGGCAGCTAGCTAGCTGTAGCTAGATGGGGCAGCTAGCTAGCTGCAGCTAGCCGGGGCGGCTGGCTAGCTGTGGCTAGCTGGGGCAGCTAGTTTGCTGCAGATAGCTGGGGCAGCTAGCTGCGTGTAGCTAGCTGGGCAGCTAGCTAGCTGCAGCTAACTAGGGCAGCTAGCTGGCCGTAGCTAGCTGGGTCTGCTGGCTGCTGCGTGCTGCTGCAGCAGTTCCCTCCTGTTCACTCAGAGTCGCAGCTAGCTGTAGCTAGCTGGGAGTGTCTGCGGCTAGCTGCAGCTAGCTGGAAGTGGCTAGCAGCAACTAGCCACAGCTAGCTACAGTTAGCTACAGCTAGCTACAGCTAGCCACAGTTAGCTACAGCTAGCCACAGCTAGCTACAGCTAGCTACAGCTAGCTACAGCTAGCTACAGCTAGCCACAGCTAGCTACAGCTAGCTACAGCTAGCTACAGCTAGTTACAGCTAGCTACAGCTAGCTACAGCTAGCCACAGCTAGCTACAGCTAGCTACAGCTAGCTACAGCTAGTTACAGCTAGCTACAGCTAGCTACAGCTAGCTACGGCTAGCGGCGTTTCCACGGACTCCCGAGGGGGCCTCCTAAAGCCATTTAAAGTTTCTTTCCCTTTGCGTGTCTTTAGCTGATGCTGTCTTCTTTTATTTGCTTCTGTGTGAGTGCATGCTGCAGCAGCAGCAGCAGCAGCAGCCGCTGCAGCAGCAGCAGGAGCAGCAGCAGCCATGCGTCCCGCGTGGGATGCTACTGCGGCAGTTTGAGGTGTACAGACAGCCCGCAGACAGGAAAGCGACAAAAGGGGAAGCAGCAGCAAATGCAAAAAGACAAAAAGAGAAGCAGCAGCACTTAAGGCAGCAGCAGCAGCAACATTTTGTGGGGTTTGTGGGGCCCCTGGCCCTCGCCGCGAAGCTGGGCTGTACCTACACCTTGCTGCTGCTGCTGCTGCTGCTGCGCTGCTGCGCAGCAGAGCTTGGGGTGTACATACACCTCGGGCAGCAGGGTGTTTGGGGTGTACGTACACCGCAGGCTAGGCGGCTGGCGGGCGGCGGCGGGCGCGGCGGCGCCTTTTTGACTTTTTGCGCTGAAAAAAGTGCGCGGCGTTTCAAAAAAAGGCATTTAAATGCAAAATTAAACAAATTGAATTCATTTGAGGGGTCAAAGACGAAAAAGCCCGGCAGCAAAGCCCTGGGCTGGGGGCTGGACGTCGGCAGCCAGCAGGCCCCAACGGCCACAGGTGTCTGCCGCTAGCGAGTTGAGCCAAATGAGTAATTAAATTGAAATTAAAAAACTAATTTGGAGAAAAAGTGGCGTTTTTGGCCAAGTCCCTGGGGTGTATGTACAGCTAAGCGGCGCGGGAAGCCCGAGACAGCGAAGCCGTGTTGCTGCTGCGGCTGCTGCTGCTGCCCGACTGTAGGCCTTTTTCGCTCCTTTGTTTCTTTTAATTTGTTTATTTTCGATTTTATAAAACCCTTTTTGCCCCTTCGCCGGGTACTTGCTGTACATACACCAACTACAGCAGCAGCAGCAGCAGCAGCAGCAGCAGCAGCAGCGACAGCGGTCTCCCGTGGGTGCGTGCCTCCCTCGCCCGCAGACTCCCCGCCGTCGGGCCTTTGCTGCCTTCTGCTGCTGGCAGCAGCAGCAGCAGCAGCAACAACAGCAGCAGCAGCAACAACAGCAGCAGCAGCAGGGCCTGGGGTGTACGTACACCTGAACTGCCCCGCCAGCTACCTGGCCAACACTCTGCCCCTTCACGCCGCTGCTCTGTTGCTGCTGCGCGCTGCCTCGTGAGCTGCTGCTGCTGCTGCTGCTTCTGGGGCTGCTGCTGCTGCTGCTGCTGCTGCTGCTGTGTTGCTTCGGGTGGCTCCACCTACCTTTTATTTTTCTCTTTCTGTCTGAGCGCCACAAGAACACAACAGCTTACTTTCTAGGGCCTGGGTCGTGGCTGCTGCTGCAGCTGCTGCTGCTGCAGCTGCTGCAGCTGCTGCTGCAGCGGCAGCAAGTGTCTCGAAGCTCCCGCTGCCGCCGCTGCTGCTGCACACCGACATGCCGGGGAGGATCTGCTGCTGCACATGCTGCAGAGGGAGCAGCAGCGGCGCATCACAGCAGCAGCACCGCCCACAGTAGCAGCAGAACGCGCAGCAGCAGCAGCAGCAGCAGCAGCAGCAGCAGCAGCAGCCGCGAGGCACGATGAAGCGCAGCCCTGAAGAGGACCCCTTGGCCTTCCTCGCCCGACGGAAGAAGAGCCGTCCAAAGCCCAACGGCAGCAGCAGCAGCAGAAGCAGCAGCAGCAGCAGTAGCAGCAGCAGCAGTAGCAGCAGCAGCAGCAGCAGCAGCAGCAGAGCAGCAGCAAGGGCCCCCTCGCACCTTAGAAGAGACAGTGTTGCTTCTGCTGCTTCTTCTGCACTTTTTACGGAGCGGCGGCGCCGGCGGCCGAGCGAGGGGGACTCTGCAGACAGCAGCAGCAGCAGCAGCAGCAGCAGCAGCAGCAGCCAAGCAGCAGCAGCAGCAGCAGGACCAGGCGGCCCCAGCACCCCCAGCAGCAGCCAGTCCTCCTTCCCCTCTTGGTCCCAAAACCTGGGGGGCCCCTCCCAGGGGCCCCCCGGGTCTCAGGGGGCCCCCGGGGACTCGGGGGGCCCCCCTCAGGGGCCCCCCGACTCTGCTGCAGCAGCAGCTTTTTCTGCTGCAGCAGCAGCTTTTTCATTTCCTTTTGGGGCCTCTGTTGTGCTGCCTCCAATTCCCCCCAGAGACAATTCCCGCTGTTTGCTGCTCGCCGTGCAGCTGCCTGCCGTGCGTCCTGCTGCTGCTGCTGCTGCTGCTGCTGCTGCTGCTGCTGCTGTCCGTGCTGCTGCTGCTGCTGTCGGTGCTGCTGCTTTTGGTGCTGCTGCTGCTGCTGTCGGCGCCGCTGTTTTCGGTGCTGCTGCTGCTGCTGCTGTGGGCGCTGCTACTTCGCTGCTGCTGCTGCTGCTGCTGCTGCTGCTGCTGCCGGGGGCAGCGAAGAGCCGCTGCGGCGGCAGCAGGCGGCCTCGCGAGGCGTACGTACACCTGCTGCGCTGCTGCTGCGCTGCTGCTGCGCTGCTGCTGCATTGCTGCTGCTGCATTGCTGCTGCGCTGCTGCTGCTGCTGCTGCTGCTGCGCTGCAGAAGGCTCGGCTCTCTCTGACGGGATTGGGGGGCGGACTAGCAGCAGACAGAGAACTCATTGAAGCGCTTGAGGACCTCCTAGATGTGCGCTGCTGCTGCTGCTGCTGCTGCTGCTGCTGCTGCTGCTGCATCTGCTGCTGCTGCTGTTACCTCTTGTGGTGCTGGCCGTGCTGGTGCTCGTACTGCTGTTGCTGCTGCTTGTGCTGTTGTTGCTTCTGCTGCTGCTGCTGCTGCGCGCGCCGCCTTGCTGCTGGGGGTCTATTGGCAGCAGCAGGAAAGCCGCGAGTGGGAGCAGCAGCAAAAAAAGGGCGCTTCCTGTGTGTGTGCTGCTGCCGCTGCTGCTGCTGCTGCTGCCGCTGCTGCTGCTGCCGCTGCTGCTGCTGCCGCTGCTGCTGCTGCCGCTGCTGCTGCTGCTGCTGCTGCTGCTGCTGCTGCTGCTGCAGCGTAGCGTGGCGCAGTCGAGGACGCTGCCGGGGCTGCAAGGCGCTCTTTATGAAGCCTTTGGGGAGCGGCTGCGGCAGCTGCTGCTGCTGCTGTTTGAGGCCCAGCCCGAGGGGGGCCCCCCGGGGGGCCCCCTGGGGCCCCGTTTGGGTTTGGCCCGGAGTGGGGCCCCCCCGCTGCTGGCTGTGCCTGCTGCTTCTGTGCGGAGCGACGCTGCTGCAGTGTTTGCTGCAGCAGAGACGGGGGCTGCGAGGGCTGCTGCTGCTGCTGCAGTTGCTGCTGCTGCTGCTGCTGCCCCTGCAGCAAACCACTCAAGAGTCATGCAGCTGCAGCAGCAAGACCTCACCGAAGCAGCAATTGTTGCAAGAGGAGCAGCACGCGCTTTGGTCCACGAGATGCAGCAGCAGGCCGAGGAACTCGTGGAGATCTGGCCCCTGAGAAGGTAACTCCAGGGTTTAGGGTTTAGGGTTTAGGGTTTAGGGTTTAGGGTTTGGGTTTAGGGTTTAGGGTTTGGGGGTTCGGGTGGGCGCTGTAGGGTTTACAAGAGCCGCGTCTTGCGCCTGTCGCCCCACGGCGGCCCAGGGCGCAGCTTCTAGGGTTTAGGGTTTAGGGTTTAGGGTTTAGGGTTTAGGGTTTAGGGTTTGGGGTGTCGTTAGGAGCGTGGTGTTTCTGTCGCGGCCTGAGGACCGCAGCAGCTTCTGCCTGGACGCGCTGCTGCTGCACCGAGCAGCAGCAGCACACTGCGTCCCGTGTCAGTTTGCTGCTGCTGCTCCTCCGCTGGACTTGCTCGAGACCGACGGTGTCTGTACACCCGAAGCAGCAGCAGGAGACATTTTGTGGCTGCCCTTGTGGGCAGCAGAAGTCCTCAGCAGACTCCGCGTCGCCAGAGTCATGCTGCCTCCTTTTCTCCAGGCCGGTCCGTCCTCCTCCTCCTGCTGCTGCTGCTGCTGCTGCTGCTGCTGCTGCTGCTGCTGCTGCTGCTGCTGCTGCTGCGAGGGGCTGGGCGGCTGCTGCTGCTGCTGCTGCGAGGGGCTCTGCGGCTGCTGCTGCTGCTGCGAGGGGCTCTGCGGCTGCTGCCGCTGCTGCGAGGGGCTGTGCGGGTGCTGCTGCTGCTGCTGCGAGGGGCTGGGCGGCTGCTGCTGCTGCTGCTGCGAGGGGCTGTGCTGCTGGTGGTGCTGCTGCGAGGGCCTGGGCTGCTGCTGCTGCTGCTGCTCACTATGATGGTGATGATGATGATGCCAAGGGCTGCGCTGCTGCTGCTGCTGATCATGCTGCTGCTGCTGCTGCTGCTGAGGATGATGAAGGCGATGAGGATAAGGGCTGCACTGTTGCTGCGGGGTTTGTGCTGCTGGTGCTGCTGCTGCTAAGGGCTTCGCTGCTGCTGCAAGGGGATGTGCTGCTGCTGCTGCTAATGGCTGCGCTGTTGCTGCGAGGGGCTGTGCTGCTGCTGCTGCTGCTGCTGCTGCTGCTGCTGCAACAGAGGCTGGGCGGATGGCAAAATGGCGCAGCGCAGGAGGCGCTGAGGTGTATGTACACCTGGTGGCTGCTGCTTTGTTGCAGATCAAATAAAAAGTTTTTTGCGAAAAGAAGAAAAACAAAAAAGAGGCCTCGAGCCTCTTCCTGTCTTCTTCTTCGAGACCGCCAGGCTGCTGCTCTTCAACCCCCTGTACGCTGCTGCTGCTGCTCGAGCTGCTGCTGCTGCTCGAGCTGCTGCTGCTGCTCGAGCTGCTGCTGCTGCTCTTGCTGCTGCTGCTGCTCGAGCTGCTGCTCGAGCTGCTGCTGCTGCTCTTGCTGCTGCTGCTGCTCGTGCTGCTGCTCTTGCTATTGCTGCAGCAAAGCTGCTGCTGGTGCAGCTGCCATTGCCTGTGTGGGCCCACAAAGTGAATCGTCGGTGGAGGGCGCGCTGCTGCTGCTGCCGGTGCTGCAGCTGCTGTAGAGCAGCAGCAGCAGCGGCTGCTCCTGCTGCAGCAGCTGCTGCAGCTGTTGCCTTGATTATGCCTTGTGTCTGCTTCACTCAGAGTGCAGCCGCTAGGGACAGAAGTTCTGTGGGAAAAAGAAAAAGGTCGGTCTTGCTGCTGCTGCTGCTGCTGCTGCTGCTGCTGAAGCGCATCTGCTGATCGGAAAGACTCTGATGTGGTTGCTGCAGCTGCTGCTGCTGCTGCTGCAGCTGCTGCTTCTGTTGTAGGGTACTATGCTTGGTGGGGTGCTGCTGCTTGTGCTGCTGCAGGGCTCGTGCTGCAGCTGTGGGACCGGCGTCAGGCCAAAATAGCTGCTGGTAAGTAACGTTCCTGCTGCTGCTGCTGTCGTTGCTGCTGCTGCGCCAGTTATTGCTGCTGCTGCTGCTCGAGTTACTGCTGCTGCGCCTGTTATTGCAGCTGCATATGCTGCTCCAGCAGTCACTGCTGCTGCTGCTGCGCCAGCTACAGGCGGTGCTGCTGCTGCGTGAGCTCTTGCTGCTACTGCTGCTGCTGCTGCTGCTGCTGCTGCGGTTTGTCTGCAGCTCTGAGTGCTGCCAACTTGGACGAGCAGGTCATCCGCATGGACCACATACAGCCTTCTGAAACCTACATGCTGTACGAAAGCCCGGCTGCTGCTGCTGCTGCTGCTGCTGCTGCATCTGCTGCTGCTGCTGCCGCCGCTAGCCTGGTTGTGGATGCTGCTGCTTACGTGTACCTCAACCCCCCCACTGTTGCTGTTGCTGCTGCTGCTGCTGCTGCTTCCCTTATTGGAGCTGCTGCTGCCGCTTCCCAAAGTCTCAGAACAAGCAAGCCTCAGGAGCAGCAACTGCTTGTGCTGCTGCTGCTGCTGCTGCTGCTGCAGGTCGCATATGCGCATGGACGACTAGGCGTTTGCTCGGCCGCCCCCTTTTGCTGCTGCTGCCGCTGCTGCTGCTGCAGTGGCAGCAGCAGCAGCGGCAGCGCAGAGTCGGGGCAGCGGCCGCCCCGCTGGCAGCTATTTGCTGCTGACTTGTTTTTTAACAGTCTCTTCTTTTGCTGCTTTTTGCTCTCAGTGGCTGCTGCAGCGCAGCAGCAGCAGCAGCAGCAGAGCTGCGCCGAAGGAGCCACAGAGACAAAAAGGGGGAAAAAGAGACAAAATAAATTAAAAAAAGAAAAATAAACTAAAATAACAAAAAAAGAAATTAAAATAAAGGAGAATTTAATTAAAAGAAACACAAGGAACTCCAGCTAGCAGCAACAGCTAAGGCCAGAGGCACGCAGCGTAGGTGAAGGCTCATTTATTTGCTGCTGCAGCAGCAGCAGCAGCTTCGCGGCTCTGCAGCAGCAGCAGCAGCAGCAGCTTCGCAGCGCTGCAGCAGCAGCAGTAGCATAGCCCTGCAGCAGCAGCAGCCATGTAGCGTTACAGCAGCAGCAGCCACATAGCACTGTGGCAGCAGCAGCAGCCATATATACTTATGTAACGGTGCAACAGCAGCAGCCACATAGCGCTGCAGCAGCAGCACCCACATAGCACTGTGGCAGCAGCAGCTACATAGCCCTGCAGCAGCAGCAGCAGCAGCAGCAGCAGCAGCGCTGGGCAGGAGGAGTGGTGTGGGGTGTACAGACAGGGAGCAGTTTCAGGCCTCAGCCCCACCTTGGGGTGTACGTACACCTGAAGCTCGGCGTCTCTGCCTTTTTGTTAAGAGGCGGCGCCCAGCTAGCTGTGGCTAGCTGCAGCTAGCTGTGGCTAGCTGCAGCTACCTGCAGCTAGTTGTGGCTAGCCGCAGCTACCTACAGCTAGCTTGAGCATGCTAGAGCCATTTACAGCTAGCTGAAGCTCTAGGAACAACTGGCTGCAGCTAGCCACGGCCAGTGAATGGCTGTGGCTAGCTGGAGCTAGCTAGAGCGCCCAGCGCTAGCTAGCTGCAGTGCGCACGGCCAGTTTGCTGCAGCAGCCAGGCAGCAGCAGCAGCAGCAGCAGCAGCAGCAGCAGCAGCAGCGGGGCACGGTGACTTGCAGCAGCCAGCCAAGTAAAAGGAGGCACTAGCAGCAAATAAAGAGCCCCAGGGGCCCCCAGCAGCAAATTAAGAGAGACAGGGGGCCCCCCAGCAGCAAATTAGGGGACACAGGGGGGCCCCCAGCAGCAAATTAGGAGCCACAGGGGCCCCCAGCAGCAAATCAGGAGACACAGGGGGCCCCCCAGCAGCAAATTTGGAGCCACAGGGGCCCCCAGCAGCAAATAAGGAGATATAGGGGGCCCCAGAAACTAAAGAGGAGACACAGGGGCTTTCTAGCAGCAAATAAGGAGATGAAGGGGCCCCTAGAGGGGCCCCTTTGTGGGCCCTCTCTAGGGGCCCCCTCAGGGGCTTCAGCCCTCTTCAGGTGGATGCCCAGGGGCCCCCTGCATGCGCCTGCGAACAGAGCAGCGCTGGGGCCCCCTGGGGGCCCCTGTTGGGGCCCCTGGTGGTTCCAGGGGGCCCCCGGGAAGCCCCTTGTGGCCCCTGGGGGCCCCTGGGGGCCCCTGGGGGCTGGTGAGGGCCCCCGGGGGCCCCCTGGGGGCCCCGAAGGGCCCCCAGGCGTTGCTGGGCCCCAGCGCGGGTGCTAAGTGGGTCTGGGGGTTGGGGCGTGTCTGGGGTGTACGTACAGCTGGGCGCAGCGGGTTTTGGAGTGGCGTCGCGTGAGTTGGGGTGTACGTACACCTCAAGAGGCAGCAATTTGGGGTCTGAGTGTTTAAAAAGAGTTTTAAATTCTTTTTGTCTTTTAATGGGCTCAGTCGCGGGAGCAAAGGGGGCGGAAAAAGCCCTGAGGGTTTCGCAGCTCGAGTTGGGGTTTCCCAGGTGTACATACACCCCGCTTCGCAGGCTCTTGCAGCCTCCACTGTATTTTCTTCTTCACTTTTTTTATTTTCGAAAGTGTAAACCCTAAAGTGAGGCGCCTGGGGGGCTTTCGGGGCTGTTGGCCCGCCGCTGGCGCATGCGGCCGCGGGATTAACCCTAAACCCTAAACCCTAAACCCTAGACCCTAAACCCTAATCACCAAACCCTAAACCCTACTCCGTCTGCATTTAGGCGCCCGCAGCTGCCTCCTTAAGGCTTCAGCTCCTTCTTCAGTGCCCCTTCCAATGCAGCGCCGAGACAGGGAAGCCAAGCCCTAAACCCTAAACCCTAAACCCTAAACCCTAAGCGGCTGCAAACCCTACACCCTCGGCCGCGGCCTCCAGCAGCAACTTCCAGGGCTCCCCGCAGGCCCCCTGGCCCCTCGCTCGCCGCAGCAGCAGCTATGCCCCTCTAGGCCCTGCTGCTGCTGCTGCTGCTGCTGCTGCTGCTGCTGCTGCTGCTTCCAGCAGCACTTTCTGCTGCCTTCACTTTCTTGCAGGGGCTTGGGGGCCCCCCAGCGGGCGCGCAGAGGCCCATGACCCGCGGGGCCCCCCGGGGCCTTGCCCTAGAGAACAGTGAAGCCCGCAGCAGCAGCAGCAGCAGCAGCAGCAGCAGCAGCTGCAGCAGCAGCAGCAGCTGCCGCACACTCAACAAGCTCCCCGTCACTGCCGCATAATCTGCTCACCTGGCTACGAAGGTTGCTGCTGCACTGTACGCAGCAGCAGCAGCAGCAGCAGCAGCAGCAGCATTAGCAAGTGTGGTGCCGCTGGCCCAAGCAGCAGCGGCAGCATCAGCAGCAGCAGCAGCAGCAGCAGCAGCAGCAGCAGCAGAGCAGACATGGAGCGCACGGGTTGTACTCAGTCGGCAGGGTCCCCTGAGTCCAGGGAACAGGATGCAGCTGAGCAGCCGCAGCAGCAGCAGCAGCAGCAACAGCAGCAGCAGCAGCAGCAGCAAAAGCAGCAGAAGAGGCAAGCCTCGCCTTCAGGAAAGGTCGAGGGCCACTGTGCTGTGTCTCCAGACTCTGGAGCAGCTGCAGCAGCTGCTGCTGGAGGTGCTGCTGCAGATGGGGAGCCCACTGAAGCAGCAGGAGCAGCAGAAGCTGCAGCAAAGCATGTCAAGGAGCCCCACGAGCAAGCTGCAGCAGCAGCAGCAGCAGCAGCAGCAGCAGACCCCAAGTCTCCTGCCGCAGCAGCAAATGAGGCAGCAGCAGCAGCGGCGGGGGTCGTGGCTGCCTCTTCGGAAGAGCCGCCGAGAGCTGCGGAGTCCCCAGAGGAAGCAGCCGCAGCAGCAGCAGCAGCAGCAGCAGCAGCAGCAGCAGCAGCAGCAGCAGCAGCAGCAGCAGCAGCAGAGTCTCAGTGCGGGGGAGGCGAAGGAGTGGCTGGGACTGAGGCCTCGGGCCAGCGGGCTGTCGCGTCTCCTGAAGCAGCAGCAGAGTCCGGAGCAGCAGCAGCAGCAGCAGCAGCAGAAGCGTCCGAAGACAGCAGAGCAGCAGAAGCCAGCGCACAGGAAGCAGCAGCAGCAGCAGCAGCAGCAGCAGCAGCAGCAGATGGTGCTGCATCCGTAGAAGGTGCAGCAGCAGCTGGTGGGGCGTGCGACGCAGCCTTGAGTGGGTCTGAGGGCGCGGCGCCAGCCGCTGCAGCCGCCCCCGCAGCAGCAGCCGCAGCAGCAGCAGCAGCAGCAGCAGCAGCAGCAGCAGCAGCGCTGCCGGAGAGCGAACTGCAGGTGAACATGAGCAGCAGCTGCGACGAGCGGCTGCAGACGCGAGTGGCTTTGCTGTCATCTTCGGAGGAAATTCAAACTTACATAAACGGGGTCTTTTTGCCGCTGCTGCAGCAGGCGCGGCTGCAGCAGCACAGCCGCCGCATGCAGCAGCAGCAGCAGCAGCAGCAGCAGCGGCGGAAGAAGCCGCTGCTGCTGCACCTGCAGGAGGAGGCGGAGGGCGTGTCCGGGGAGCGCGTGGGCCCCGCGCCTTCGCCGGAGCCCCCCGCTGCTGCTGCGCCTCCCCCCCCGCAGCAGCAGCAGCAGCAGCAGCAGCAGCAGCAGCAGCAGCAGCAGCAAGTGGTGCACCCCGTGAACGGGCTGCCGCTGCAGTGCAGGAGAGTAAAGCTCTACGAAGTCGACGGGGAGACTGGCAATTGGCTGGACCGCGGGACAGGTCACTTTTATGTGGTGGACGGCAGCAGCCCGGAGCTGCCGGAGCCGCCAGCAGCAGCAGCAGCAGCAGCAGCAGCAGCAGCAGCAGCAGCAGCAACGGGCAGCAGGCTGGTGGTGCGGGAAGAGGCCTCGGGCGCGCTCGTGGTGGACTCGGAAATCCGCAGCAACGGGCTTTACCAGCACCAGAAAGACAGCATCATCACCTGGCAGGAGCGCCGCAGCAGCAGCAGCAGCAGCAGCAGCAGCAGCAGCAGCAGCAGCAGCGACAGCAGCAGCGACAGCTTCCGAGCCCTCTCCTTCCAACACGCCCACGGCTGCTTCGCTCTTTGGTCTTATATTTCGCTGTTGGCCCCCGAGGCTCTTTCGGGGAGTTTAAGTGACGAAGAAGAAGAAGAAGAAGAGGCTTTCGAGTCGGAGGCTGGCGGCCGTGCTGCTGCTGCTGCTGCTGCTGCTGCTGCTGCTGCTGCTGCTGCTGAGGGCGAGGCGGAGGGGGGCGCCGCGGGCTGGCCCGCAGCAGCAGCAGCAGCAGCAGCAGGCAGGGAGGGGGCCCCCAGGGGGCCCCGGGTCCTGGGGGCCCCCTCTGCTGCTGCGCTGCCGCTGCTGGCCCAGAAGCTGGACTATTTGCTGCAGCACCCCCACCGCAGCCAGGAGGCGCAGCAAGACATCCGCAGCCGCGTGTGGCTCCGCAGCTTCTTCGCCCTCATGCGCCGCCTCCTCGCAGCTGCCGGCAGCAGCAGCAGCAGCAGCAGCAGCAGCAGCAGCAGCAGCAGCAGCGGCGGCGGCGGCGGCGGCGGGGGGAGCAGCCCCGGGAGGGAGCCGGCAGCGCCGGAAACGGACGGGCACGAAGCCGCAGCAGCAGCAGCAGCTGCTGCTGCTGCCGACTCGGCTGCAGCAGCAGCAGCAGCAGCAGACGCAGCAGCAGACGCAGCAGCAGACGCAGCAGCAGCGGGCGCGGAAGCAATGAGCGCAGCAGCAGCAGCAGAGGCGCTGCAGCAAATGGCGCTGGTGGTGCGGAAAATGCTGGTGGCCTGGGCGGGGCAGTTGGAGACTTTGGAAGTTTTTCTCTCCGACGAATTTTGGTTTGAAGTTTTAACTTGTTTAGAACATGAAAAAGAAATTGCTTCGCAGCAAATGGCCCTGCCCCACACCGCCTTCTTCCGCCGCGTCCAGTTCCACGAGGTCCTCAGCAGCAGCAGCAGCAGCAGCAGCAGCAGCAGCAGCAGCAGCAGCAGCAGCAGCAGCAGCGGCAGCAGCAGCAGCGGCAGCAGCAGCGGCGAGCAGCAGCAGCAGCAGCAGCAGCAGCAGCAGCAGCAGCAGCAGCAGCACGAGCAGTTCGTGCAGCACGTGCACCTGCACTACCGGCTGATGTACCTGCGGGATGTGGCTTTGACGAGATATATGGACGAGGCCTCTCTTGCGCAGCTGCAGTGTCTTTTAGCTGCCAACGGCCACTCCATAATAAGTTTGCTGTCGCAGGCAGCAGCAGCGCAGCAGCAGCAGCAGCAGCAGCAGCAGCAGCAGCAGCAGGGCGGCGGGGAGTGGGGCGGCGCGCTCAGCCCCTGCGACGGCGAAACCACCAGCAGCAGCAGCAGCAGCAGCAGCAGCAGCAGCAGCAGCAGCAGCAGCAGCGCGCTGGAGCTGCTGAAGGCCAGGCTCGGCACGGACTACTACTGCCTGCTGTTCGTGCGGGAGCTGCTGTCTTTGCTGCAGCGGCTGACAGCAGGCCCTCCGGCGCTGCTGTACCCGCCCTGCTACGGCGACAGCAGCAGCAGCAGCAGCAGCAGCAGCAGCAGCAGCAAAGGCTTCCGCGGCTCCGGCCACTCCGTCTACAGCCTTTGTCTTCAAATCCGAAACTCCGGTTTGCTGCTGCAGCTCAAGGGCTACCTCAGCGGCGACCCCGCAGCAACAGCCATGTGGAGGGAAGTCATTGCCCCCCACAACGCCAGCGCCCAGCAGGTACGCAGCTAGCTAGCTAGCTAGCTAGCTAGCTGGCTAGCTGGCTGGCTGGCTAGCTAGCTAGCTGTGCAGCTAGCTAGCTAGGCAGAGAGAGGGCAGGTAGATGCGCATATAGGTAGGCAGGTAGCCACACGGCTAGCCAGCTAGCTAGCTAGCTAGGCAGCTAGGCAGCTAGCTAGATAGGCAGCTAGCTAGGCAGCTAGATGGGCAGGCAGCTAGGCAGCTAGCTAGGGAGCTAGATGGGTTGCTAGGTGCCTAGCTAGCTAGCTAGCCAGCTAGCTGGGGAGCTGGCTAGCTAGCTAGCTAGCTAGCTAGCTAGCTAGCTAGCCAGCTAGCTGGGTAGTTGGCTAGCTAGCCAGCGAGCTAGCCGGCGATGAACACGGAGCGAGGCCGCCCGAAAGCCCGCCCGCAATCCCCCCGCCCGCCCCCCTG